TTTTAAATCTATTTCATGGGATACCACATGAGCACTTCAGATTTCCTCCTTTGTGATTTTTTTGGTTGCTTGGCAAATCTGAATGGATTTGCCTAATCACTCCTTCCTATACATAATTACCCATTTTTTTCCGCTCAATTGTCCACAAACAGATACTCCCAGCTGCTCCCCATAACCTAATCTATAACCATGAGGTCAGGAAAATTTTTATATACTGTGAAGAAAGATATTTTAAATCAGTAGTGCATATTGTCCAAATACTCATTACTGAAATACACGGCCATAAATTATCAGCCAGAAAATTCTAGCTGACTGTTGGAAACATTAGCACTGCTCTGAAGACAGAATCCCATACATCAAAGGTCATCTCTGAATTAGTAATTTGTACAACATATACAATAAACATAAGGGTATGGAACTGGAAAACTAAATGGAATTCGACCACAAATTATTTTTGCAAGAAATCTCTTATTACATCTGTATCACCAGGAGGAACTACACTGTTAATCTTCTGTCCTATGTAAAAACAAACAAAACCACAAACAATCCTCAAGCAAAAAATAGTCTGGGCATGAAGACTGTCTCTAAAATAGATTTAGTAAATGCTTTCAACTGTTCAAAATAGCTGAAGTAGCCATGTCCATGATTTTTATATTAAAGATGATTGATGAGAAGAAAGTCAATTGTTCAGAAATTACCCCAACCCAGATATTTAACAAAATATAGGGAAAATCAGAATATTAACTTGACAGGGTTTTCAGACAGATGTGCCTCTATGAGAAATTCTTTTCTGAGGCACCACCGGTTTCCAACATGTCCCCAGGTGAATTCTTAATCTCCCCATGGGGGTTCCCCCACAAATTTCCCCATCTCACAATGGCACTTCCACCCATTCTGCTGCTCAGTTAGAAAACTAATTTTCATCCTTGGGCACACCCACATCTAGATTATCAGTAAGTGGCATCAATTATATGTCTAACATATAGCTTGACTCCATCTACCTTCTCTGCTTTCTCCAAGTAACCCCTAACTGAGCTCCGCCCACACTCTTGCTCCTTTCCATGCATTTCACCATAGTAGCAGAATGATCTGAGACCAACAAATTGGATCATGTTACTCCCATGCTGACAATTTTTCACTAATTTCCCATTGTACTTGAAATAAAATAAAACATCTTTAAATATGGTTGACAAAGCTGTGGGTAATCTGGGCCCTGCTTACCTTGACAATATCATTGCATTATGGCAATTCATTATCCTATCATTAAGATGTGGTCAAAACTGGCTTCTGCTAGTGCCTAGAGGTATCAAGATCTTTCCAGTATTAGGGTCTTCATATACATACGTTTTTATTTCTGCCTGGATGCGTCCTCTTCTCTTTACTGGATAACTTCTATTTCTATTTCAAGTTTTAGCTTAAATGACACTTCCTTGACCTTATACTCAAGTTTTTAAATGCATGCATAGCATGCTTTCCAATTTACATTATAGGTGTTTTCTATACCAGACTATAATCTTGAGCAAAAGCTATCTCTATTTTCTTTGTGAATCCCCATTGTCCAGCTCTGTGTCAAGTACATAATAAATACTTAATAAATATTTGTTGAATCATTGAAGGACTAAACTAATGAACACATCCAGGTAGCTCCATGTTTTACACACACATTGAGGCCAGTTAACCCAGTTAGCTACAACTTTGATACTTATTCTAGTTCCCAGGTGCTCAAGGATGGGCAAATAAGGACCTGTAGACACGTGTTAAATTTAAAATTCTCCGAGGTATTTTGGCTCTCCTGATTGAGTCACATCTTCCTCTTTGTTCAATAGGAATCATAGCTCTAGTTACATCACAGAGCTGATTTCATTCTGTCTTGCATTAAAATTAGTTGACTTTACGTATCTCTCTCTCATTAGAACCTTCTGATTCTTTCATAAGAATCACATCTGATTCATCTTCATCCTCCCTGGTGCAAAGAGAGTTTCTTTAAATGTACCACCATTCAAAAATAAGAATGATAAGGTGCCAAATGAAGTTAAGATTGCAAGGTATCATCAGATTTACTGCAGAATCGGATTTAATTATTTGATTCAAGGCCCTGGGACAGGCATTAGGAATTTAAACAATGACTAAACAGTTTCCTTCCCTGTAAATCAATAATATATAGGGAAACAAATATCTACCAGTAATCTCTGTATGTTCACAGTACAAAAAAGTATGACTGATTCAACATAATCCCCACAGGATCAACAGGCTCACAGCCCTAGATAGAGATTTGGCATGAGTCTGATTTTAGGGATGTAAGGTTAGTTCCAACAGTTGCCTGATTCTTGTGTCTCAGTAGAGCCAGCTCATCACCCATATGCTGTGCACTCTCGTTGGGTTATTGCATGGTATTCCTAGTGGATTAATGCTCACCCATCCCCACTTCCCCCTCTCTGTGTCCCAGGACAATTCCTGCTCTACCTCTGGCTCAAAGGAGAAAACACGTAAACTAGCCAGAAGGGGCCCTAGTGCCAAAGACAGAGATTCAAAAAATGTGTTCCTGAGAATATTGCATTTTGACTATTAATTCTCTAGAACCTGTGAGTGCCCTGCTGAGCAGCCAGAGGTCATCCAGGGGCGTGCAGCTCGCTGGAGGCCTGCTAATGGATGGTCATGCTTTGCTGAGCACTTTCAACTTGTATTTGCCTTCTGGTTGTGCTGAGTCATTGCTGGTAACTGAATTGTAGAAATAGCTACATGTTATTTATATACAGTATGTCTTTTTATATACAGTATATTATTTTGTTAGCTTTGAAGCACCTTGAAAATATGATTTTAGTAAATACAAAAGGTATAAAGTCTTTTCTTTTGTACTACCACTGTGGTGTGGAATAGCTTTACTTCTTTCCTTTTTTTTCCCCCCAGATTTAATGGTGATTTTTAATGCATTTGAATTTAGCCTGTGAGGGATCTTTGAGTATTTTCATTACATTACCGAACAGGTACAGCGAAGGCTGAAGCCATATGCAGCAAAAACTACTAGAAATATGTATATATAGAGCTAATATTTGTTGGGTAAGTAATTTGCCAGCCACTATAAAAAAATTAGAAAGTATTAACATGCCAAACAGGTTATCATGGTCCAGTAAGATTAAAAATTTATATTGAAATATAAATGGTTATAGTTATTGTTTACAAGAATATTGCTATATAAATCTATCATTTTCTTTTCATATTTAGAGTTTTGATTTCTTTGACCATCTGTTAAAACCGCTACTGCAGGATTTCATATCTCCTGGGAAGCACTGAATGTTGGAAGATAAAAGAAGGGCATACATTGTAGGTGGGCTATGGCATACATTTGAGCCAAATAGTTTGTCATGGGTGTGTTCTTGTGAGTCATCTGTGATTTTATTACCTTTAGGCCCTTTGAACAGTTTGATTTCCACAACAGTCTCCAAAATGGGCCGTCTTCTACGGACATACAGCCGAACGATCGACCCTGCTTCTTTGAGGGCTTCTACCGCTTTGCTGTGGGAAACCTCTGACACGTCGACCTCATTCACCCGCAGGATACAGTCATTGACCCTGAAAGAAGGAAAAAGACACGTAGGTCAGGCGTGCCTTAAAGGACAGTATTATGGCTATCCAACCTTACGATGCAGGGAAGCAGAGGACAAGCGATTTAAAAATGTTTACACTTGGAAGGAGTGCTTCAAATGGAAAAATTCAAGAAATCCTTGAACTCCTTAGCCTTCCCAAATGGACACTATGGGTCAGAGCCCCTCCTGTGCTCCCGTCTATTCTGACGGATGACATCCCAGCGGTGTAGCTGTGTTAGGAATGCTAGGTAGAAAGGTAGACACGAGCCACTGGAAAAGGGAAGATAAGGTTCCAAGAGAAAGCCCCCCCCCCAGCAAAGGTTCAAAGAAAAAGCCGCACAACCTCCACTCAGGTTGGGATCCCATGTAAAGACAACAATGGCTTTGCAGGGAAATAAACATTCTTCCTAACCAGATCCCAATGGGGCACAATCGAATGGAACTGAGAACTGCCCCAATCACACATCAGCATGGGGAAGGCCATGCTCACAGAGAGGGATGACCATATAGAAAGACCTGTAAATCAAATAACCCTACCTTGTCAGTCAAAGAGTCACCTGTTAACTGGAATGCAATATATAAGCCTTCCGCCTAAAAGACTGAGGCCTTTGTCTATCTTGACTCTGGCCCGCTCCTCGCTTGGAGGGTATTCAAAGAAAACTTTTGCTCTGCTTTGTTACAGTGTCTCTACTTTTAGTTCTTTGTTGAGGCTGGGACAAGAACTGAGAAGAACAAACTCAACCCCTAACAGTTGAAAGGACATATATTTTAAAGACTCCATCAGTTACATCACTATTTTGGTTGGTTTCCATTGGTTTGACTGAGGGTTACAATTTGAGCGGTTCTCAGAATTTAGTACTATGAACCAGGTAGACATAGCAAATGTAACCTCATAATTTTTTATAAATTCTTAACTTACTACTTAAAAAGTAATATGCAGTTATTTTAGAAAACCTGAAAATAGCCATGTAGAAAACAAATACATATACATGATTTGATCATCTAAAATAAAGCTGTTAGCTTTCTGGAAAATAATCTTCGTGTGTGTGTGTGTGTGTGTGTGTGTGTGTGTGTGTGTGTTGTATGTGTTTTCCCTTAAGTTCATTTCACAGTATTATAAATATTGAAGCTCAGGTTTCACAAAAGTCAAAGAAAATCTGAGATAATACTTGACCTAGGTATTTACTTTGAAAATTAAGAATAATGGCAAATTCAACAGTAAACTTTACTTTTTTGCCACTTTCTTGTGGGAAAGAATAATTTGACTCTTCCATAAAGCTTTCCAGGTAGCTTTTAGTTATGTGGCCATAGACTTCAAGTCTCTTTTATATTTATGATAATAATTAGTAAAAGTATCTATAATGGTTAAGAGTATGGGCTGAGACTAGAACGATTATTTCCCTCCCTCTGAATATCCATCTTAGTATTCCACATCCCAGTTCACCGTGTCACTTAGAGTAAAAAAGATAAGGGGCTATCCTTGTCTGACTCCTCTCTCCCTCCACCACCACCACATAGTCAGCTCTATCTGTAATCTACCCAGGTTTCTTTATCCCCATTGCTACCATGCTGGGTGAAGGAAACATCAGCTCTCACAAGGATTACTTCCACAGCCGCCTACCTACTTGTCCTAGATGCTCTCTTGTCAACTTTCAACCTACTCTTTGTACAGTGGCCAGGATAAAGTGAACATGATTATTTGCTTACCTACCTTCTATTTTCCATTTCCTTCTTCCAAACAGTGCTCAATTTTGTTGAGGGGATCTATTCCTTAGCAAATATGAATGAAAGAATAAGTCTAAGTTCAAACTTTGGGCTCTCTATTACGTAAGCTTGTAAGTATTGATAATTTTCTTAACTTCTCAGACCTATGTTCTCATCTATAAATAGATACAATAGTTATACCTACTATAAGGACTTTGGGGGAAGATTAAATGAGATAATGTACATATAAGTCTTTAGCAAAGATCTTGTATATAATAAGCCCCTTACATGGTTATTATTGGTAGCAGGGCAAATCTGTTGATTTATAATATTCTTAACTATTGGACCTTTTCCATAATCTTGTGGAATAATACTTATTATCCACATTATAGAAAGGAGAATTGTTCCAAATGGTTAAGTTCTTTGTCTACAGCTGTTAGTAATTTGGGCAGAGAATTAGTTATGATCTAGGTCTTCCTATTTCAAAATATGGGCTCTTTCCTCTTAGGCCCACGTATATGTAATGTGATGAACAGTGCCGTCTATGTTGTACACATCAATTCAAAAGTATAACACTGGTAGTGGAAATATTAAATGAAGATGTGAGAATAATTTTCCTGTCATTTTTGTCCATAACTTTTCTATACCTGATTGAGGAGTTAAGATATAGAAGCTCTTGTCTCAAGGAGAACTCTCATAAGCCTCAAAATCCTGAGATGATTCATTTCATTTATTAGGATTTAGTGATGTTATTTCATTATAACAGATGCTATGGCTTTAATAGATTTACACATACATTTTCTCTGACTAACAAAAACAAACCCCACAGAAAACTACCAATTAAAATAGATTTGAGAATGTAGGCATATGGGTGCCAGCTACCCTGTAGCAGCTGGTCCTTTGAGAGTGGGTAATTTTGTCATCTCATGATAATGCAAACACACAATGTTTACCATCACCCTATGCCTAGAATATTAATCATATCTTAAAACACTGCTTTCTGTAGAAGGGAGTGGCTGCTGACATTTAAAAAAAAACATGGATGCTATATCTATTCAAACTCCACTAATTTTTTTTCTTCTTTCGTATACAGTGGAATCCTTAATTGTCACTTGCTGGGTGAGGAAATCACAGCCTAAATCAGATGGTTTTTCCTGAACATGTAGAGGAAATAGGCAACTTCAGTTCAGAGAAGAGCACCAGACTGATGCACAGTCCAGAGGCTTGGATTTGAGGCCCAGCTGTGTATCAGCTGGGTGACATTGTCAAGCCTCTTTAACTCTTTGAACTTGAGTTTGCATGAAAAGAGAGTAAGCATTCCCAGAGCTGGCGAGAGCAGTAGGTGATGTGTGTGGATGTATGTGTGATCTGTCACAGAGCCCACATGTGAGAGGTGCAGCTATTGATAGGTGAGTCAAAGATGCTGTGCTCAAGAATTTATTGAAAGGTGAACAGGATGGAATTTGAAGTTGTTGGTAGGATTACTATGTGGCATATCATTCTAGGCAATTCACTTATTGGCTCATACTTAAATCATTTATGAAACACTGATTCTCATTGTACATACAATAAAATTTACTGAGAAAGAAATGGTGTTGGGGACAAAAGTGCTGGGCACACCAGACAGGGATGAGATTCAAAGCTGGTTGTATCTTTTTCTGGAACTTATGATGATACAAAGTTATTCAAAGTTGGTTGTTTTAAGTAAAAAGTTGAGGGTGCAAGAAGTTGAGATTCAACTTTTCAAAATACGGAGGTAAGAATACTAAGCCAAAGTAGGGCACTCAACATCCCTTACTCACAATCTCTTGAAATGGCATCTGGCTAGAGGGCCAGAGTTGTTTAAAATTGCTTTGGTTTTTCTACCAGTAGATAAACTTTGTGGGTAAAGCCACAACGTATATGCCTATCACTAGCTTCAAATTCAAATAATATTTAGTCCCTAAAAAAATGCAGCCTTTATCATATTTCTGCACCATTATATTAGAAATCCACTTGCATACACATTTCCTGCCCAATCTACCCATGTAATTAAGCTGATGGTTTCACTCTTTCAGTGCTTGCTATTTCAGATATAAGTCTACAATATTCATTCTATGAACCAGACTTGTCCATGAGATTAAATAGTTAATTTTAATCTTCTCGTTTCTTTTCCGTTATAATGTTGGTATATCCCCTTTCAGAAAACATCTTAAAAACAAAAAGGATACCATTATGAGCATGTCCACAGAATCACAGCTAAATTTTGCACTAAACAACTAGATATTCTCAAACATGGTATAGCATCACTGAAAAGTCAAATAATTACTCACCAAGTTTTTTGTCCTACTTTTAAGATATAATTTAATGTAACATGTAATATCTACTCTTTCATAGGTATTAAAGTAGATTCTGTTGTAAAATAAGGTTTGCAATTTTATGTATTTTTAAGGATATTAATTCATTAAAAATAATCATCAAATCTTTGTGTTAAACTTTAAAAATTCCTGTTTATTATGCATTAAAAAATACTGGAAGGGAAGATAACAGTTTCAGCTCTGGTTCCCTGTAGATGTAGAGATTATGAGTGTTTACTTCTGTGTGTTTTCCCAATGTTCCATAATGGTCATATATCACAGAAGAGAATCTAAAAACATGGGCTTGAAGGTGTTGGCCATACAAAGATACACCTGGGATTTTGCCCAGCTCTGGAATTTACGAGCTGTGTGATTTTGAGCAAGTCCCTTGATGTCTTGAAGCCTCAGTTTCTCCATCTGAAAACAAGGATACTGAGACTGTTGCATGGATTAGATGAGATAATGCCTCTGCAATTCTTAGCACAATGTCTGACAAAAAGTAAGCTATTATAGTTGCGCAAAAGAGACAAGAACCATTTGCATAGGAAAGGATGTGAAGTGACTGTAGTGGGGGAAAAAGGATAATCAAGAGAGACAAAGCAGAGAGAGCTGCAGTCAATATTCCGAAAGGGTTTTTGAAATTTTTTATGAGAAAAGGAGGAAGAAAGAGATGCATGGGATTTGGGGGAAGAAAAATGCCAAAATAAATCTTTTAATAAACCTTGTTTCATGGATTGTAATGTAATTTCCCTCCAGGAAAAGTCCATTGTTTTGATATTACCTGTACCATTATAGCACGGTTGGTGAAAGCTTCTAAAGATTAGTACACTTGGCAGATTTTCCACTACCTCTTGTCTACTCTGTTGTTACCCACTCCACACATCTAGCCATACCCAGCCACGCTCAGCCCCTCTCGAGGCTTCATTCAAAGGTAGGCTGTAGATCA